TGTATGTGTGTGTGAGAGAAAGAAAGGAGTCACCGATCCTTCGGTCAGGATGCACGGCCGTGTGTGCGTATCCCGGCGCGTTGCGTACGCGCACGGATTGTATACACGCGCGTTTTTGTCCATTTCTACACGTATATCTGTTCTCTCCTACGACGATTATAGAAGGTTATTTTTAAATTTTCGAAACTTAGCTGTGCCGCAAGAGCGTGCGAGTGTCAGTACGAATCGGATGTCAGTAGGAATCCTGAAATATAAATAGACGATTGAAGTGGACCGCAATCACGGCGGAGGCTTTTCTTTCGTGTGACCAACGATTCTGAACTCCCTCCGAACTCTTTTTCCCACGAGCGCAGCATCCGCGGATGTTAATTAATTATCATACGATTGTCTCGTAAAATTAACGATCCAAAAAAGATAATGGAAGACATAATTAATCTTCTTGAAATATATAATTACTTAAGGGTGATAAAAGTCTCACTTGTCAGAGAGTATAACAAATTGTGATCTCTAAAAATACAAGTAAATACAAATAACATGACCCGTGATACATAACATATGATACAGAAAAACGTTTGAACGATTGAATTACGACGGTCGTAATAATCAGTGTTATATATAACTTTTTGAATCGCGATGGTACGTTCAGTCATTCGGATCCGGTTTCTTCCGGACAAAAGAGACGTGGCGGGTTCGAACTGCCCCTTCTTTGTTCGCTTGCAACAACAAAGACCCCCGAAGACCGAGAGGCCAATAAAATTTGCGGGTTGCAGTCAGAACCCGATCAATAGTCGAGTTTCCGAGAAAAATAAATTCTTGCTCGCGGATCGCGTCTATCGCAAATATTTTCGAAGAGCTGAACGAGCGTAAATTAACGCGAGTGTATCACATGATTGGTGGTTCGCAAAGACATTTCGGAAGAGTTAGAACTCTCGATTTTTCGTTAAATCGGCGCCGTTCGAATGGAAACGTTAAGCCAGCTTGCTAAGTTTCTTAATTTTCTTAAAGCGTTCTTGCGAACTGGCAGAACGATGGATTAGAAAAGCAAGGAGCAAGTTGAGAAGTTGTTATTAAACTTAAATATGACTAGATTTATTCATTAGCACATCCATTAAGTCACGTTCTCGTTACGCATTTTACTATAATTACTTATTATTCACTAAGTACTTATTTGATGAGTTTTTAATGAATGTTTAAATATTTATTCAAATACTCATTAAATATTCATTTAAATATTCTTCTTAAATACTTATTTAATGAGTATTTAAATGAGTGTTTAATATTTATTAAATTATTTAATGGACATATTATTATTAAACGCTTTTATCTTGCGATGAGAAAGATATTAAAATTTTCTACTGCCTAACAATTTTTAGAAATCAAAAAGTATTTCTTTTTTTCATCAAAATTAGATATTTAATATTAAATATTTCAGACATTCAGTTATGATCTTTCGATTTTTATTTTTAACAATATGGACGATATATCGTGAATGTTGTTTAGTATAGGAATTAATTTCAATTATTATTTAAAGAATAGTGAGAACAGTATTAAGTTTTATATGTGTCGTGTATGTATATACACACTAATTGACAATCGATGTTTGCTCTTAGTAGCGCAAGTAGCATTAGCAAGATTGCGAAAGTGATGTACTAAATACATACATCTTGCGCAAGCACGGATGTATGCTATTCATTCATGATGATTTCCGATGAGTCATTTAATTTCCGCATAAGAAGCCCGAGGTACTGTGACATAGAAACAGTAACGTACGCGTGATACATATTCTATATGATTAACAGAAGTATGTTCCATTGCCTATATCAATAATCGATACCAGGACCGTTTTATTATGTACGAACCATCGGAGCGAACCGCGTACAGCTATCTAAACCGCAAAGTCCTATAAACACGATGAAAGTCGCAAATCCATTTTCTCTAATAAAAGAAGAAGCACGTGTTCAAAAAAAGCATGAAAGTTTGCGATTGAGAAGTCAATGCGATATTAAAGGACATATTATATATATTATAGGGAATTAATTAAGTAACTCAATGATTCTGAGATAATTATTATCTAATAGTAGCAAAGTCACTCCTTAATCATTGATATCGATTAAAATTGAATTTTAATTAATTTTATATTTCCAACCAGAGCTTTTCACTCCATTTTTGCAATGCGAGAAGAACAGATCTTCCTCGAGGAAATTAATTATTGATCGATTTCTCGAGTCTGAGTGAATTTCGTCTACCATTTAGGCTGCGGTCCACTTGACGCTACAAATGCTTCGAAGCATTCCTCTTCTCTTTTCTTTCAGTGAAGAAAGAAGGAGAAGAAGAACGCTCTAAAGCATTTGTAGCGTCAAGTGGACCGCAGCCTTTGACGGTAGAATTCATCAGCGCGAAGATGATGCGTTCCGAGACGGACGAATACAATCTGTTGCAAACGCGGAAGTCGGTGACGGATAAGAATATACGGCATTGTCGTTAAGCAGATAGGATAAGTTTATTTTCTAACGTCGACAATTACGGGATTGCGAACGACGACCGTTAATGCAGGTCGTTGCAAACAAAATTCAATAGCAGAAGAACGTTATTGTTACTTCATTGTTAGGCAGGTAGGCGGATTCGCTTCGCAACGTTTACACGCAGGACGGATACCGTTAACGTTCCGAGAGCGCGCGATCTCTTTCCTTTACCTTTCACCATTTATCTCGACGACCGAATTATCGATCGCGTTGATATCTCGTAAATAGAGCGAGCTGAAATACACGTCGAGGCGTAACTTCTCATTCAACAACCCGAAGAGATCGACGCGAATAAAACTCGATGTAAAATCCGGTATTGCATTGTAGGTTTTTCTCGCATTTTCTTCTTATTTCGTTCTGGACAAAATCAAGTTTAAGAGGATCTTATATCGACAAACGAGAATTTCTAAAACGCAACCGCGCTGTCTAAAATCCGTTTTGTTGAAGTTCATAAGTGTTATCCCGTTACTTTTATAGAATGGAGAAAGGAAACCGTTATCCTATATATTGTAAAAAGTTTATTTTTGATGAAAATTTTAAAACGACTTAAGTATCTAATGAAAAAAAAAAAAAAGAAGGAAGAGAGAACATCAAGGGAACCCGCAGAAACGAAGAATCCCTGCTGGGAAAAGCCGAGGAGCCTGAAACCATTCATGAAACTTCGTCCTATCGCATTTTATCCCCCAAGGTAACGAAAAGACGCGAGATATTAAAACGACTTCGACCGAACTCCAATTAATTAAATCGGCGATTAACATTTCTTTAACGTGACTAGAATAATTCTCTGTTGTTCAATGCACAAAAAAAAGATTAAGAACAAATGTGTACGGTTAAAAATTTTGTCTCAAGCAATTCTGGCGGTTGATTCAACGACCGATTAATCAGACGAGTTAATCAGAGTTCGCTCGAAGTCACGAGTCACACCCTCGATCTGCGACGACAGTCAACATCAGTAACAATTCAACATCGTTCAACGTTGCGGGATGCAACGCGCGAAGAACGCTCTGGAATCGCGTGCGGCGCGTCAAAGGGCGGTCCACTCTCGCCGACTCCTGACTCTCGCCAAAAGTCTCGCCAAACGCGAGCGACTCCGCTCGCGGTCCGCGAGAAGGAGCGCGACGTTGGGCGCGTTCCGCGATTCAATACAGCGGCTTCGCAAGTCGCAACGTCGAACCAGACGTTGCCTCACGTTGCGCACGGAGCACGGACGCATAAATGCATATTCGATTGCAACGAGTGCAACGTGAGAACGCTCTCTCGCTCGCTCGCGCGCATCCTATCCTCCGTCTTTCTCTCC